CTCCTATTTAATATACCAAAGTAAGCCTGTCTGCCAGGTTCTCCCAGCATCCCTCAGTCCCAACCTGTTACAGTGTATGACTGATGTGGTAGTTTAAAAGTAATTGGCCCCATAAGCTCATAGGGAGTGGCACTATTAGGAGGCGTGACTTTGTTGGAGTATATGGGGATGGCCTTGGAGTAAGTGTGTCACTGTTGGGTCACACTTTGAAGTTTCCTATGCTCAGGATACCTCTTAGTCCACTTCCTGTCATGGTGTGTTTTCACAGAAGTAGAAGCCCTAACTACAGCAGCTGGTATATCCTATTCTCTACCCTAGACGTCTCCAGTGCAGGGGCTGGGCTGTCCCTCCCTAGATGATCCAGCCATTTTGGCTACCTGGTCCTTTTCATCTAACCGTTTACCCTTGGCCTCTTGGTCTGCCTCCCCCCTTTCCATTCCCTTCTTCTTCCCACATAGCTCAGGGTCTTGTCCATCCTGGACTCTCCCAGATGTCTCTGCCTCTGGCTATGTCTTCCTTTTATCTGTAGTAAACCTTCTCCTCCACCAACCTAGGAGCAGTCATGTCCTTCCTTTTCATTTCATTTTTTCCCATTCATCTGGTGCTGAAACCTGGGATTAGTATATAACCGGCCAGGAGCTCAGCCAGATCTGAACCAGATGCTGACTTGACGTTCCAGGGGTCTGTACGGATCGTTGGTTTCTGCTGGCTTCTGCCATCCGTCAAATTTGACCCCAAATGCTAGCGTCTGCCTTCTCAGCTACTTCTGCCTCCACAATCTACTTTCCTCTGTCCATTTCATCATAAAGTTCATTGGAGAGCTTCTTTGCGACATGGTTCTGAGTGCAGCCATTGCGTTGGACGGCAGTGGGGAGAGCTGCTTCAGCAGCTGATTTCCTGTGCAAATGAGACTGTCTACTTTTATCTTTATTTTTTTTTTTTTTTGATTTTTCGAGACAGGGTTTCTCTGTAGTTTTTGGTGCCTGTCCTGGAACTAGCTCTTGTAGACCAGGCTGGCCTCGAACTCACAGGGATTCGCCTGCCTCTGCCTCCCGAGTGCTGGGATTAAAGGCGTGCGCCACCACCGCCCGGCTACTTTTATCTTTATTAATAGTGGTATTTTCAAAACCTTTCTAGACTCATGAGTAGATATATTTCAAGGTGTTAAAATATTTATTTTACAATTCTTCTGATTTTTCTATTCTGTAGAATCTTTCATAAGCAGTGATTTATCATTTGCACAATTTCAAAGTTATGACTTAAATGATTTGAAAATGAGAGAGGAAAAAAAATCCATCTTGTCCTCTTTGCCAGCTCCTATGAATCATTGTGTTCAGCTTTGGCCAGTCCGATTAAAATGTTCAGTTCTAGTGGTGTCAGAGTGTATGCAATAGAATTAACTGTCTCTGCACTTGAGGCTCTCCTGGGTGGGATAAGAAATATGTGTACAGTTTTGGTCATTCTGTTACGGTCCACAATGACACGAGTTCCTCAGTTCCTACTTGGGGTTGCTTTATTTTTTACCCTTCCGGCTGGGGGTTGCTACTTTGTAGGTATTTCTTTAGAGCAGTCAAATATTGGTGCCTTTGCTTTGAGACAGGGTCTCCTGACTGGAACCTGCAGGAATAAGGGTCCTGAATGGGAGGACCAGGGATGAGAAAGAGAAGACAAAACCAGCAGCTGGGACCAAGAGGTCCTGTGGAAGCTGGTGTCAAGCAGAGTTATTCAGAAACACAGCATCCATATATAGTGTTTGCAGGCCAAGGTCAGCAGAGAGGTAGGTCAGAAAGGAGACACAGTATTGGGATGGAGAGCCACAGTTCAGCGGGGAAGAGTTGGGACCTCAGAAACCAAAACCTTGACTCATTCAAGGCACTGGCCTCAGCCTCAGCCTGGCCTTGCCCAGTTCGGTCCTGGACAAGGACCTTTGACCTTTCATCAGGGTCTCTGAGAAAATTTTGGGTCAGTCTGGCTCCCCACAGTCTTCTGCAGGCCAGGCTGGCCTCTGACTCAGCGTATAGCTCATGGTCCTCCTGCCTCTGCTTCCCAATTCCTTTTTTCTCTTAAAAAAATTCCTCAGTCAGCCTCCACTGTCAGCCACATTCAGAGAGTCTGGTTTGATCACATGCTCCATCAGTCCCATTCCAACTGGCCTTGGTGATCTCCCATTAGATTAGATCAGTCCCACCATCTCAGTGGGTGAACACACCCCTCGTGGTCCTGACTTCCTTCTCATGTTCTCCCTCCTTCTGTTCCTCATTTGGACCTTGGGAGCTCAGTCCAGTGCTCTAATGTGGGTCTCTGTCTCTATCTCCATCCATCACCAGATGAAGGTTCTGATTCTACTGCATGGACGGGCTTTGTGGGAGCCTTGTCTGTTTGGATGCTCACCTTCCTGGACCTGGGGGGAGCGGGGAGGACATTTGACTTCCCATAGGGTAGGGAACCCTGACTGCTCTTTGGCCTGGAGAAGGAGGGGAAGGAGGAGTGGGGGAGGGGAGGAGGTGGAAATTTTTAATAAAAAAAATTCCTTTTCCTCCCTTTCTCTCTCTTTCTCTGTGTCGCTGTCTCTCTCGCTCCTCCCCCGTCTTTAATTCTGGGATAAAGCCTCAGATCCGCTCGCTATTCACTTCCTAAGTGCTGAGATCACAGGTATATGCCACCATGCCTATCAGGTTCTAATTACCATGTTCTTAATAATCCCGACACTTAAATGGTGGTATTGAGTGGGCTGGAGAAGTGGCTCAGCAGTTAAGAGCACTGGCTGCTGTTGCTCATGACCTGGGTTGAATTCCAGCACCACACAGCGGCTCACAACGGGAGTCTGCAACTCCAATTGCACCCATTTGCACAAATCAGATACCCGTTTCAGACTTCCACAGACACCCTTTCTGGACTCTGGGTACCAGGCAGATCACCTAGCCTGTCTGTCTGTGTGGGAAGCCTCTGGGGTCCTCCTGAGTCACCTCACAGCACTGGGATCATTAGTATGCACTGGGGCACCAGCTTGTTTGATGCATGCTGGAGACCTGAACTCAGGTCCTAAAGCCTGTGCAGGAAACACTACCTGCCCAGCTGTCGCCCTAGCCCCTGAGAATGTGTTCTCTATTCTAAATTTTGTAAAAATAAAAATGCTACAGCCCAAGGGTTACTTTTAATTCTTCTTGGCTTATTTAGATATTGAGCCACACCCAGTATCTCAGTCCACCTCCTCTTGCCTGAGGATCACAATGTTGCTCCTTCTCCAGCACCCTGTCAACCTGCGTGCCTCTATGTGCCACCACGATGAAAACAGACCAAACCTCTGAAACTGTAAAACCACTCAATGAAACACTTTCCTGTGGAAGAGTCGCCGTGGTCATGGTGTCTCTTCACAGCAATAGAAACCTGAACCTTTTGTAAACCTTCTGTAAACATGCTAACTAGAACTGTTCTCTTAATTTTAAATTTGGAAACAAAATTCTGTTAGCCTGGAGATGAGATTTAATTCTCTCAGTTTATTTTGATCCTTGAACTATTTCAAAAATTATAAATCAATAACTGGACTTTAAGACAGAGATTTTATGTAATGTTTTGTTATTTTAAATTCATTGCATGGATAGTAAAATTCTCCCAGCATAGTACTTGTTGAAAATATTGTTCGAATTAATGTCTGTATATGTTCATTTTAAATTATATGAAAATGAGGTAAACGCATATTTGTTGTAATTTTTGCTTTTTCCATGTGTTTGTATATGTTGTGTGCGTGTGGGAGGGTGCACATATGTATGTGTGTGCATTCTGGAAGCAGAGGTTGCTATGTTGATCAGTGGTTCTCCACCTTGTTCACTGAGGCAGGGTCACTTGCTGATCCTAGAGCTCATCAGGTCAGCTACTCTAGCAAGCTAGCTTGCTCCTGAGAGCTGCCTCCACCTCCAGCGCTGGGGTGGCAGGTGGAACGCTACTCATGGCTGGCTTCTCTGTGGGAGCTGGGATCTGAACTCTGGCCCTCAGGCTTCGCGCTCGGAGCCATCTCCTCCGACCATCTTTTTCTTTATTTTTCAGCACTGTTGGGAACGGAATCCAGAATCTTGCCCACGCTAGGTAAGTGCTCTACCATTAAGTTTTATGCATTACTCTCTGGAAGGAAAAAGATAAACTGGGCAAAGTTGAAAGAATACAGTTTTCTAACCATAAACGAAATATAAAGCAGAAGGGCCTGAGCGGAGTAGTACGATGAGAGTCGGTCTCCAGAATTCCTAGTCGGTCATCCAGCCCCTGCATGGGGCCTTCCTGGGAGTGCAGAAGCACTGGTTTTCCAGGCACGCTTGTCTGATGCTCGAAGTTAGCAGAGAACAGGGATGCCTGTGTCCAATAGACTGAGATCTATTGCCAGGGAAACAATTCACCTTATTGCTCATAGTTCTTTGTTATTGTCTGCTCAGCAGGGGGCGGGCTGTACCACCTGAGAAGCTGGGGAGGCAGCAAGCCCTCCTGGTAGGAACATGGCCATAATTCAGAGAAGGGAGGGCTAAGAGTTTACTTTTACCCTGTGTCAGAAAGGGCATTGCCAAGGACTAGTCTCCTAAACTCCCAAATGCTCCAGTGGCATCCACGGCCCCAGGTCAGAAGAGGACAGGACCCGGAACACGGTGTGTTCTGAGAAGACTGGGGCTGAGCAGCTTCACAAGGGAGACAAACACTGTGTGGTCTGGATGGTGAGCACACAGGTGCACAAACTGTCTTACAGGGTCTTTGCACTTTAGAGGTCCTTCTGGGTGGAGTAGGTCCGTCTTTCAAATACAGGTGTCGTGAAGGAAAGCATGGAGAAAGGGGAGTGACGCAGAGGACACGGAAACGGGGCAGAGACTGGAGGATGCTGCCGGGAGTCCAGCAGGTCTCCCAAGCTGGGAGAGAGAGACACGGAAGAGCCTTCCTTAATCTGCCAAGGAAGGAGGGGACTACGTCCTAGCTGCTGCGGTCACTGCCAAGCTCTAGTTTAGAGCTCTGGCCTATAGGGCTGTTTCTCCGTCGTTCCTGCCCTCCCGTGCCCTACCTGTCACGCCTCGCTGCACCCCGACACTTCCCGCCCACTTCCTGCAGGAGATAATCAGCCGAGCGGCCAGCAAGCTTTCTTCAAGCTCTACAGCGCAGGCACCACCCCGCCACCCCACCCCACCTCGTCGCCATTGTGTCTTGCTGGCCCGCTCAGCGATGCCCTGAGTGTGGGCTTGATTTCTAGAGGATCTGTGGACCAAGCAGACAGATTTGGTGAGTGCTGAGACAGAAAAGTCTCTCTCTCTCTCTCTTTCTCTCTCTCTCTCTCTCCCCCCACCCCACCCCCGTCTCTCTCTCAACTCTTTTTATAACTTCGAGACTCCATAGATGCAGAAACCCTGCCCAGTGCCCTGATGGGAATTCCTCGTGGCAAGTGGTGGGAGCAGGTCGAGGGGAAGGCAGATCTGTTCTTCCGAGTTGGGTCCAGCAGCCTCAGAGAATAATAGCGATTAGAGAGGAGAGAGGTGGGGTGGGACAGAGGGAGAAGGGACAGGGAAGAGAGGGGGACCGGGACAATCTAAGGGAAAGAGAGGAAGGACAGACAGTATGGAAAGGGTTTTCTAAGGGTTGAGTTTTGGGAGAAGGGGCCTGAAGCCAGAAGGAAAGGAAAGGAAAGCTGTAATAACTGAAAATAAATTTGGTGCTTCCTCTCAAGTTGGGCATCTGGCTGAGGCTCGTATCTGGACGGTGGGGGGAATATTATTTTACTGAGGAATATCTTAAAATGCCTTGTTTGTCTGGGACTATGTGCCAGATGTGTGACAGGGCCTCAAACTTCTGGTGCTCGGAGCTTGTTTCCTTTGGAAACTTTTTCCAGGCAGGGTCACTTGTGTCTCAGGCTGGCTTGGAGTTTCAACTCCTGCTCTTCCTACCTTAGCTCCCTGGTGCTAACTTTAGAAGCATGTGTCACCTCATCCAGGGCCAGGGCCCTGCCCTTTAAGCAAACACTGCCGACTGAGCTCAGTCCTCTTCAAAGATGGCATGGAGTGTGACGTCCCATCTTTTCCTAAAATCCTGAAGTTAATTGCTGATTAAACACCTTCAAAGCCTCTTCCACACATACAGCTGAGGCGCTTGGCTGAGCCTGGACACGTGTCCCTTCAAGTGCTTCTTGTCTTTCTGCTTAAGAAACTCGCCCACTTGTTCTGAACTTGTTTTCTGTTACAGTGTGTGGCCCACCATACTCGGAGGGGACCACCTCTGCTTCACTGCTCAGCTGGTGAAAATGCATGTCCTGCTGCTCACGACAAGATGACTTCACAGAGCTGCCAGAAGGGTCCAGAGCGTGCGTACATGAACCACAAGGGCCCATGCCATACTGCTCTCTGGGGTAGTAGCTCGTCCCTACATGGCAGCAGCCTGAGACCACCCAAGAGTTGTGGAGGGCAGAGCCAGCCAGTTCAGTTCAGCACCGCAGGCTCATCATGCATAGCAGAGCGCCAGACTGGCTTGCTGATGTTGCTATGGTTGCTTCTGTGGTACATGCCCATGGCAGGTAGGAAGTGGATGGAATTGGAAGGAACAGGGAAACAGGGAAGCCACTGTTGCTCTTGCCATCCCTGGTGGGCTCCTAGGGATTGTGGCCTGACATCTCTTACCCTGCCTCTTGTCATAGTGCAGATATGTGTGTGTGTGTATATATGTGCATGTATGTATGTGTATATATGTGAGTACTCTTGTCATAGTGCAGATATATATATGTATGTATGTGTATATGTGTATATATGTGAGTGTTCTTGTCATAGTGCAGATATATGTGTGTATGTATATATGTGTGTATGTAAATATATATATATGTGAGTGCTTTTGTCATGGTACAGATATATATGCATGTATATATATATATGTAAGTGCTCTTGTCATAGTGCAGATATATGTGTGCTTATGTATATACGTGAGTGCTCTTGTCATAGTGCAGATATATGTGTGTATGTATATGTA